GGAAAGGTATTTGATTTGCTTACTAGGAAGACAAAATTGGTAGTGTTAGAAGTTGGGAAGTAGTAAGTTCAAATTGTGGGATTGCAGGAGACAGAGGTAAAATTCTCTGAAGATATCCTGAAACTAGCCCAGCTCTTCGTTGCCTGGACTGCTCCAGACCACTTCCCACCCTTAATTCCTTCTAGTCCCCTTCTCTGTAACCTCCCAGTCACTTCAAGTTATCGGCCACTCCTTGAATCACATCCAGATCTTCCCACAAATCTTTTTTTCCTGTAAAAAGAGTTGGTCTCATCTACCAAAGGGCAGTTTCTTAAAATCTTGCCCACCTCAATCAGTGTTTTAATAAACCCTCTCTCTGACTGAAAGAAGGCTGGAGTCAAATTCTTTCAAGGCAGGACCTGCATCTTCTGCCCTTGAATTTTGGGGTTCCCAGCACCCCTAGGCCGCAGCAGTGAAATGTTGCAAATACAAAAGTTGGGACACAGAATTAAAGAAGTGGAAGGTAGCAGGCTGGATTGCCTTTGGGGGAAATTACAAAGTTTCTTCAATGATCCCAGAAATTAAGGCCCATCAGTTAACCAAGTCCTAATGACTCTGTTTCTACATCTCTTGCATCTTTCCCACATCTCTTTTCAAAGTGTCCAACCTAGTACAGGCCCCCATTACAATTTGCCTGGATATTGCCCGAGGCTCATAAAAGATCTTCCTGCCACCATTCTCTCTCCCTTTCAAACTATCTTTCCTAGACCTACATGCCAAATATTATTTATGCAAAAGTCTGCACATTACTCCTCTGGTTAAAAAAAATCCTTTAGTTCCTTACTTGATCATGTTCAAACATCGGGGGCCCTGAGAGGCAGAGCAGCGCCTCACACCACTGATCTCTGGGCTAGGTATACGTCGACGGGCATTGGATTGGTGATGCCACTGCCTAGTTTGCCCCCAATGCCTTCCTAGCTCATGTCCCTGCCTGCAATATATTCCCTGCTAATCTATCCTACACATTTTCTATATTTCATCTTTCTCCTACTCCATTTTCATTGTGGCATTCCCCTTCTCCAGAACTTACCACTTATCACCTATCATTTCAAACCATAACTCTGCAGTCCAACATTTAAGGGTCTTCAATAACTTATATCTACCTATCTCATCCTCCAGCTGAGCAAATCTCTTTTGCAAATTTGCTTACTCCCACCTCGATGCTTTTGCTTCTACCATCCCCTCTACTTGAAAAAGCTCTCTCCTACCCTTTCAGTTAATTCATGCATCTTACCTCTTTTCAAAATGGCCCATCATCTCCAATTCTTCCTCATTATTCACCCAACATTTCCGATCAGTTGCCAAATCTTGTCAATTCTACCTCCATTAACGTCTCACATACCTTCCCTCCTCACCATCCACACGGTCACCACTTTGGTTCAGGTGCCCATTCCCTCTCACCCAGACTATAGCCATAGGTTCCTATTTGGTCTCCCTAACTCAGGCCTGTCCCCAATCCAAAATATCTTCCACAAAGCCACCAAAATGAATTTCTGACAGTACAGGTCTGACTTTATCACCACCCCCCTCACTCAATAAACTCCTTTGGCTCTCTATGTACTTATGGGATCAAATAGAAACTCCTGTTTAGCATTTAAATCTCTTCACAACCTGACCTACAACTACAACCTACTACTATTGCAATCTTTTTAACGTACTACTTCCCTCCACACACTCTGAGATTCAGCCCTACTGGCTTATTTGCTGTTCTTCAGATATAATGTTTCACGTCCAATCTCCATGCCTCATTCTGTCCCTCATTCCTGAAATGCACTTCTATCTCACTTCTGCTTCTTGGGCTCCCTATTTTCCTTCAAGATTTAGCTTGAGTTTATTGTATACATATGTATAGGTAAAAACTTTTCTGGCTTTATCAGCCTGGCTTTTTTCCAGCTACTTCCCCTCCCCTGCCCCTCCCCACAGTTGCTAGCACATGCACTTCCAAAATTACCTCCGATTATTTTAAGCATATATTCACATATGCAAGGACTGCTTCACTTTTTTTTTCACTGCCCAGTGCTTAACAGGATCTGGTACATAGTAGGCATTTAAATGCTTGTTCCCCTCCCCTTGTTCTTTTGCTGATCCATTGATTCAAAATCTCATTTTTTCAAAACCTGGCTCAAAATTTATCTCCTTAGAAAATCTTCCAAAAATGAATTGTGTTTATCTACTTGGTACTTAAATATTCTGTTCATATTATATTAATTTGCATATATTAATATTAATCTGTAAAGATGTTCTTCCAAAGTTTTGTGCTGTGTGTATTGCTTCCTTCCAATTACAGTGTCTTCTAAGCATTAGAAAATTTACTTTTATGATTAACATCAATTGCATATGGAAGTAAAGCTAACAGGAGTTTGTTTCCACGTTCCCTCCTTTTCCTGTTTTTATATAATTACACAGGCTTCTTCAAAATTTCAGGAATTACAATTATCTTTAAAAGCTGATGGATTCTTTTAAGTATCTTAGGACAGGAATTACAGGAGCAGCTAGGTGGCACAATGGATAGAGTGCTGGACCTGGAGTCAGGAAAATCTGAGTTCAAATCTTGCCTCAAACACTGACTCTAAAAGGTCACTCTCTCAGTTTTCTCGTCTGTAAAATGGGGAATACCACCTACATCGCAGGATGATTGTGAAGATCAAGTGAGATAATTTCAAAATGATGAAAGTGAGAGAAGTTATTATTTCCTATTATATTAATAACCAATTATTAAATTAGGATTAAGGCTTTTTCCTTCTATTTCCTCACTTATGGAACAGGCCTTGTAAGTCCATCAACCTCTGAAGGACATTGTTGATAGATGAGATTGCCCAAATCCTCTGAGAACACTTTAGAGGCTAAACAATCTAATGTAGGCACATTCCTGCCCTAAGACAGTAAATCTATGCCCTTGTGCACCAGCCTCCCCTCATCCCCACTGGAGTTTAGGGTGACCCCACTCATGAAAGAGAAAACCAGCAGGAGTGTCTGGGTAGAGATAGATTTCTTTATCCAGATTTCTAGAGGTGACTGAGTCTCAAGATCAAACCACATTCTCAGTAGGAGGGGCTGAGAACTTTCAGCTCACCTCCTCATTTGAAAATCTACCCCCTCATTAACTGTTCACCAATCAGGGTTGATTTTCACCTGTCATGGGCACCCCCTTTTCCAAAAGTAGACTAAGGCATTCATTATCTCCATTGGATGTCTTTGGTTACTGAGACAAACCACTGACTATCCATTTATTGATTATCAGCTGGCCTAATTAATAAATTGATTATTAATAACCCAGAAACTATCTCTCAGACTTTTCATTCATCTCAAAATGTAAGCTTTTTTAAAGTTGCATCCTCTCTTCTACACTGTGGGAAAGCTGTCATGGTAATACTGGTAAATTGAGGAAGAAAAACTTTCTACAAGTTTGTCTGAGTTAGAAAGTCTCATCCCCTCACCACAAGGCTCTCCCCATACAAAGACCTAGTCATTCCTCAAACTCCTGCCCTTATTAAGGGGCTCTTCCTGAAGTTAGAAGGGGCTAAGCACAGCTATAAGGGTCCTACTGTAGTGCATCTTTTCAGGTCTCTCCTTCCAGTTTATAGACTGCTGACACACTAAGAGTGAGGGTAGGGAGAGATAAAGAGACAAAGAGAGACAGAGGCAGAGACAGAGACAGAGGGAGACACAGAGAGACAGAGACAGAGCACCAGAAAGAAATAGAGATAGAGAGACTGTACAGCTATCCCTTCATACCAATGACATCATAAGTCCAGTCCTGTCCCTATCCCTATCCCTTGATAGTCAGAAAGGATGAGTTCCAACCAAATTAATTGTAAACTGAAAGTATTATTTCCCCCATGATGCCAATTTTAAGAGAAAAGTTGTAGAAAAACTAAAATGCACTTTTCCAAGCCTTCTCCCCACCCCCAAAGTTTTTTTTTGTTTTGCATCTGTCTAGTGCAGTTATATTGTACTATTTTACTAGTGTGTGTGTATACTCATATTATTACATATACATATGATTATCTATACACATGTAATGGTTTCCTTTGTAATCCTATGTTTAAAACCATTAGTCTGAGAAGTGGCCCATTGGTTTCACCAGACAGACAAAGCTGCCCAAGACTCAAAAAAAGGTTAAGAATCAGAGACCCACAGTTTAAGAAGCACTGATAGGGGTCACAGAGTGGAAAAAGTTTAAGAAGCCCTGCACTAGATGGCCTCTACAGTTGTTTTCCAGTTTGAGTCTAAACTCAAGCACAGGTGTTAGACAGCTTTGAAGGAATTGAAGAGAAATGTCAAATTGAGAGAACCAGGAACAGCCTCTACCATGCTATTTCTTACTCTCCAGTGGGGTCTCTCTGTTTAATAACTTTGCATGGCCACATAGGCAGTTTGGGTACAGTGAATTTAGGGAAGGTAACTGCTTCCCGCTCTGTAAATTAGAGAAGAGATTTAGCTGGAGACCAGGTATTAATGGTAACTATACTCCATAGTCCCGCTAACATAGTATTTGTCCTACTAACCTATGTGAAGAGAAAATAAGGAGGCAGGCTCGGGGAGAAGTTATTTCAGCTTTCCCTTAAGAAGTCCCCTAAGTCAAAACAAACAAACAAACAAACAAAAAAACAAACAAAAAAAACCCCAGTGGTTGGAATCCCAGCTCTGCTACATACATTGTGAACTTGGATGATTCTCTTCCCAATATGGTACAGAGGATGAAACACTGAATTTGAACTCAGGGGATTTGCCTTCAAATCCCACCTCTGAACACTTTCTACCTGTCACTTAGATTTTCTGGGTCTCAGTTTCCTCATCTGTAAAATGAGGGAGATAGACTAAATGGCCGTTGCAGTCAATTCCAGTCTAGATCTATGATCTCCCTAAAATGAAGGGTGATTAAGAGAGCAGGATAGGGATCACTCTCCCTAAGTTCCCTTCCAGCTCTAAATCCCCGGAACCCAAGACTGGGCACTCACCATTTTCAAGGGAGACAAACATCTGTCCCGGCTCCTGCCGTATATGTCTCGCTATGATGGCACTTCTCCACCCAGTGGTTCCGCAGACTTTGATCACCTCCCGGACAAACTGGCGGCCGCATAGCTTCCTCGGGACGTCGTCGATATACTGGGCTCTGAGCTCCCCGGGGTAGAAACTCAGCAGCAGCCAAGCTCCCAACAGGTGGGAAAAGATCAGACTCAGTAGCATCTCCGCGCTGTCCGGTGGCAAGCTCCCAGCCGTATCCTGCCTCCTGGTCCTCTCGGCTAGAACCACCTCTGGCCGTCAGTCCTCCCTTCCTCTGGGTCGCCTGACCTTCTGGCAGGGCTGCGCTGAGTCCGTCGGTCAGCCCGCTTTCTCTGGCTACCTGTCCCTGCCTTCTCTTTGCTCTGAGCGCTCTTTTTATAGGCTGACCACTCCATTCCACAATTAACAAGTCTCTCTACCCCTCCCCCTTTCCCTTCTTCCCCTCCCCTCCCCTCCTCCTCCCTCCAGCCCACCCTCTGTTTGTTCTCCAGCCCTCCCCTCCCCAGCCCATCCCTCTCTAACTTCTCTGTTCTTTACACATCTTTCTCTTGGTGGACGCTAGTGTCTCAAAAGGACACACACACAGCGCGCGCGCACGCGGTTTAAAACTAGAAGACGATTTCAAGATTATTCAGTCTATCCCTCTCATTTTTACCGAGGGGGAAAATGAAGCCGCCAGAGGCAGCCTTCAAGCTCAAGTTCTTTCAACCACATTCTTGCCCTATACCAGGATGACTTCAAGCATCTTGCGTGCCATGCGTGCCCCCTGCTAAGCGGCTTGGTTTGGGAGCCTCAGTGACTTTTCTTTGGAAGAATGGAAAGGGAAAATAGTGACTTTAGCGAAGTCCAGTGATGAATGCAGAAAAATGATTGCTTCTTATTTCTTATTTTCCTTCCTCTCTTCATCTTTGGGGGAGGAGTGGGGTAGGGGGGGTGGAGGAGAGAAGACGGGTCAGACCTGTGATTTCTTTAGCTTAGGAAACTTCTGTTGTGGATACTCACTCCCCTACTGTCTTAGAAAAGCTACCTTGGGGTTCCTCATCTTGTTTATGTGGACAGTTTCAGGGGCTTTCTAAGGAGATTTTGTATTTCTGTAGAATTGCAGTTGCTGTGCGTAACATTTTTTACTTGCCAGAGATGCCTAGGGAGTGCTAAGAAGTGAGTGGGACCCTAGAATCTCAGGCAGAAAAGGATGAGAAGGGAGTTTTCTTTATCGAGTATCTTTCTTTCTTAATGTCTTCCTGAAAAGATTTATTTCGTCCCATCTTTTTTTCTTTTTTTTTCTGAATAAATACATTTTTGTTTTTCAACAATCTCTTCTATAAGCTTTTTGAGTTTTAAATTTTCTCCACCTCCCTCCCCAAGAAGGCATGCAATCTGATATAGGCTCTACATATATGTTCCTATTGAACTTATTTTCACATTAGTCATGTTGTAAAGAAGAATTAGAACCAAAAGGAGGAACCACAAGAAAGAAAAAACAAAACAAGAAAAAAAAGAGCAAATAGTAGGCTTCCATCTGCATTCTAACTCCATAGTTCTTGAACTCTCCCATAAAACAGAAACGGATTGCAGAATGGATTAAAAACCATAATCCTACAATATGTTGTTTACAGGAAACACATTTGAAAAAGAGTGACACATACAGGGTAAAGGTAAAAGGCTGGAGCAGAATACATTATGTGTCAGCTGAAGTGAAAAAAGCAGGGGTAGCAATCCTGATCTCAGACAAAGCAAAAGCAAAAATAGATCTAATCAAAAGAGGTAAGGAAGGAAACTACATCCTGCTAAAAGGCACCATAGACAATGAAGTAATATCATTACTAAACATATATGCACCAAATGGTATAGCATCCAAATTCTTACAGGAGAAGTTCAGGGAGTTACAGGAAGAAATAGACAGCAAAACTATACTAGTGGGGGACCTGAACCTCCCCCTCTCAGCACTAGATAAGTCTAACCACAAAATAAACAAGAAAGAAGTTAAGGAGGTGAATAGAACATTAGAAAAGTTAGGTATGATAGACCTCTGGAGAAAACTGAATGGGGATAGAAAGGAATATACTTTTTTTTCTCGGCAGTACATGGCATATACACAAAAATTGACCATGTACTAGGGCATAAAAACCTCACAAACTCCATAGTTCTTTCTCTGGATGTGGATAACATTTTCCGTCATGAGACTTTTAGAGATGTTTTTGTATCTTTGCATTGCTGAGAAGAGCTAAGTCTATCAAAGTTAGTCATGGAACAACGTGGCTGTTACTGTGTACAACTGCATTCTCACTTTGGAATCAGGGAGTACTGGGGGAAGCTTTTGAAAATTCTGAAGTTTGGAGAATATTTGGGGGAAAGGTAATTGATTTTCCAAACCTCTTTTTAAGGTTGTGCTCTGCTGTAAATATAGTAAACGGCCTCTCATTAACAAAAAATACAAACATATTGATGTTTTATAACTAAAGAAATCAATATGCCCTCTTTAATATGAAAAGAATAACTGAGAGGAGTAAATTTGAGTGGGAAAGATACAATATTTACATAAGAGAAAGGGTACTAAAGTGAATTAAGTGCTTATTATAAAAGAAGCCATGTTTCCAAACATCCTGTGACTCCTGTGTGTTTTCCACATGACACCTAAGACTGGTGCTGGTGGCAAGGTCCAAATCAGCTTGCTGTTGCCTTCATTAATTATCCAGCAAAACAGTGTAATATCTGAATTATCCACAAGGAGGTGTACTCTTTGAGAGATTTTTCAGTCTGTCCAACTTTTCATGACCCTGTGGATCATAGCAAGCCAGGCCTTTCTGTCCTCAACTATTTCTCAAAGTCTGTCCAAGCTCCATGACTGGGACATTGCTTCCATAACACTATCTATCCATCTCACCCTCTGCCATCCCCTTTTCTTTTTCCCTTCAATTTTCCCCAAAGTCAGGGTCTTTTCCAATGAGCCCTGTCTTCTCATTATGTGGCCAATGTATTTAAGATTCAGCCTCAGTATTTGTCCTTCCAATGGATAGTCTAAATTAATTTCTTTAAGTGTTGATTGATTTGACCTCTTTGCTGTCCAAAGGACTTTCAGCACCACAATTCGAACGCACGGATTCTGAAATTAGTCCTGTCTAGCACATGATTGAGACTTCTTCCACCAAAAGCTTCGTTATTCTCTTTTGTCACCAGAGGGTGCTCAGTCGGCAACCTCTAGGCTATTCCCCTGCACTGCCTTGAGGCAGGACTTCAAGAAGAAGTACTAAGCAGTTTAAATACAAACTGGCTTCCTGACCTCTACTCTGGCCCCTTCCTCTGTTCCAGAATCTTAATGCCTGTGCAGGCTGGTCTCCAACAGCTATCCAGTCTCAATTCTCCGTACGGCAAGCAGGGTAATAGAAGGAAAAGGATCCCAGCTCTGTATTCCAGTGTATGTACAGTTCTATCTCAGAGTGTGTCTAGATTCTCCACTCTCCCTCAGGATCTGTTATCACCTTTGGCCTAGAGGTCAGTAAAAATTTAAAGATAAGATGGCATGATCACTTTGCCAACAAAGGTCTTTTTAGTCAAAGCTATGGTTTACCAGTAGCAACATATAGCTGTGAGAGTTGACTATAAGGAAAACTGAGCACCACAGAATTTTCACTCTCAAATTGTGGTGCTAGAGAAGACTTTTGAGAGTTCCTTGGACAATAAGATCATATCTATCGATAATCAAATTAATTCAGACTATTCTATGGAAAGTCAAATAACTGAAACTGAAGCTGAAATACTTTGGCCACATAATGAGAAGATGTGACTCACTGGGAAAGACCCTGATATTGGGAAAGATTGAAGGCAAAAGGAGAAGGGGGTGGCAGAGGGTGAGATGGATAATGTCATGGGAACAATGAACATGAGCTTGGACAGACTTCAAGAGATAGTGGAGGATAGAAGGGCCTGGAGTGCTATGGTGCGTGGGTTTACATCAATAACAAAAAAGCAAAAACAAAAACCCAACACCAACAAACGACTTAGAAAATGGATTAAGGAAAGATAATTTTAGAATCACTGGTCTACCTGAAAGCCATGAGCTACCCTCTACCATCCCAAAAAGAGCCTGGCTATCATATTTCAAGAAACTATGAGGGAAAATTGTCCAGATCTACTAGAATCAGGGGGCAAAGTAAAGATTAGAAAGAATCCCCCAGGAACCTCCTGGAAGAAACCTAAAATGAAAACTCCCAAGAACTTCATGACAAAACCCAAAGTTCCCAGGTCAAATTAAAAATATTGTAAGCAGCCAGGAAAAAAAAGGATAAGATGGCATGGCATGGCATGGCATAGGCACAGGTTTCGATCTTGAGAGCCAGAAATCCCTTTTTACACTTTTACCTTTCAATTGAGACAACCTTTTCTTGCTCCTCAACCTAAGAAAAAATATGCAAGAATTAAATATTTCTCATCTTTCTTTTAAATATCAGAATGACATTTAAAAATTCAAATAAAAGATAAAAGGAACCAATAATTTTATATATTAATGTATTTCATTCATTTATTCAACAACATGTAAATGGCTACCTTGTATAAAACATTGGTCCAAATAAGAAATAATCTGTGCCCTCAGGGTGCTCAGAGTCTGGTGTAAAAATACATACAGATAACTAATGTATAAAACATTACGTGAGAAGTGCATTAAAAATGCAACACAATACTAATGGGTAATTAAGATCGACAACTAAGAGCATATGAAATAATGCAAGCTGAAAAAAAAGAGGCAAAACCAGAAGAATACACACCCTAACTACAAACAATGGAAAAAAAAGGAAAATAAATAGGGAATAATAGATAAATAATGTCTCCTGGTAGAGACATAGAGTAGACCCACAGAAGAGTTCTTAGGTTATTTTGCACATTGAAATTAATTGATTTAAATATGAATAGTTACTTGGCAAGTATAGTTAGTTCTATTGTTCAATATTAACTGTTTTATAAGTAATTTTTAAAAATTATAAGTACATTAGGGTACTAAGTAAAGTGCTATAAGTAATGTGAAAGAGAAGGTGAATACTGCTTGGGACAAGAAGGCTGAAAATCAAGGAAGCTTTCATGGAGGAGGAGATAATATTTGAGTTCAACTTAAAGGAAAATGAAAAGAGAGATGACACTATAGGTAAGGGAACTATGGTCTATTTCGGCCAAAGAGTCAATGAAGTATTTTAAATATTCACTGATTTTTCCCCTAGTGGGATACAACTACCTTAAAATGAAAGTAAAGACTTTATTTGGAGTCTT